AGACAAAAAGATTTGAACAGAGACATTCCTCCAAAGATACAAATGGCTAACAAGCACATGACAAGTTGTTCAAAACCATTAGCTAAAAGGAAAATGCAAATCAAAATGACAGTGAGATACTACTTCACGCCCACTAAGAGGAGTATATTCAAAGATAGATAATAACAAATGTTGGCAAGAACATATAGAAACTGGAAAACTCATACACTGCAGTGGGAAAGTAACATGATGTAGCTGCTTTGGCAAACAGTCTGACAGTTCCTCAAAGGGTTAAACATTGTTACCATATGACCCAGCAATTATGTTCCTAGAGAAATCAAAGCATATGTCCACACAAAAAACTTAAACCTGAATCCACATAACATTATGCACAACAGCCAAAAAGTGGAAACAACTCAAATGTCTATCACCTGAGGGATATAGTATATCCACATATGTAATATAATTAAACAATAAAAATAAATGAAGTACATGCCACAACACAGATGAAACTTGAAAACATTATTATGCTAAGTGAAAGAAGCCAGTCAAAAAAGACACATATTGCACAATTCCATTTATATGAAATATCCATAACAGGGAAATCTATAGACAGAAAGTAGATTAATGGTTGCCTAAGTCTTGGGCAGTTGAAAGGACATGTAGTATGGGAATTCTTTGGGGAAGACAGAAGTGGCCATACAACTCTGAACACACTAAAAAATACTGAGCTGTATATTTTATTTTTCTTACTTATTTTTATTTTTTATTTTTTTGACAGAGTTTTACTATATCACCCTTGGTAGAGTGCCATAGCGTCACAGCTCACAGCAACCTCAAACTCTTGGGCTTAAGCAATTCTCTTCCCTTAGCCTCCCAAGGAGTTGGGACTATAGGCACCAGCCACAAGGCCTGGCTTTTTTTTTGTTGTTGCTGCAGTTGTTATTATTGTTTAGTAGGCCGAGCCAGGTTCGAACCTGCCAACCTTGGTGCCTGTGGCCGGTGCCATAACCATAGCACTATGGGCGCCAAGCCTATTTATTTATTTTTTTGAGATAGAGTCACACTTTGTCGCCCTTGGTAGAGTGCTGTGGCATCATAGCTTACAGCAACCTCCAAGTCTTTTTTATTTTTTGCAGTTTTTGGGTGGGGCCAGGTTTGAACCTGCCACCTCTGGCATATGGGGTAGGCACTGCCCAAACCTCCAACTCTTGGACTCAAGTGATCCTCTTGCCTCAGGCTCCTTAGTAGCTGGGACTACAGGCACTGGTCACAACATCTAGCTTTTTTCTTTTTTTTTTTAAGAGATGGGGGTCTCACTCTTGCTCAGGCTGGTCTCAAACTCGTGAGCTCAAGCAACCTACTTGCCTTGAACTCCCAAAGTGCTAGGATTACAGGTATGAGCCACTATACCCCAGCCTGAGCTATATATTTTAAATGGTTAAGTTAACTATATCTCAGTTTTTAAAATAGAGATATAATTAGGAGGTTAACAAAACAGAATAAAATTAAAATATTTTTATTAAATTTCTGCTATGGGGTGGTGCCTATAGCTCAAAGCAGTAGGGCGCTGGCCTCATATACCGGAGGTGAGTGATGGGTTCAAACCTAGCCCTGACCAAACACTGCAATAAATAAATAAATAAATAAAAAACAAATTCCTGCTATGTAACTAACCAAAGTTCTGAGCTCAGACCTGGCTCTATTTATTAAGGAATGTGGGGGTAGCATGGAAGACTGATTATAAGTATTAGAGAAGCAGTAAAATGTTAAAGACATATTGAAAACTAAATGAAAAGTAAAGAAAGGGAATTACTTTCTCACTAAATATTTCAAAGCTATTTGATGTCATATTCACATACTACCTAAAATCATCTCTTTACCAATCCTGGTATACCATCACACACTTTGGGACATACTATACTAAAATGTTATTTCCCCCATTAATATAACAGAATATGAAATAAGACTAAGGCACTCAGAAAGCAGCTAGAAAAGTGAACTTTCATTGTAGTGTTTTAACAAACTGTTAGATATTCCTTCATTGTTAGAAATATCAGATTATGTGTAAGCCAACCTTGTAAGGGAAAGTGAAATGTCTTCATTTCCTCCTTTGTCAGAAGACATCTAGTCAAGCCCACTTTCTTACAGCCATACTTTTGAATGATGGGATCATTCTGCAAGTTGATGGTGGCTTTTGAACTGGCAGAAGGTAAAGAGCCTGAAACAAAAACAATTATATGTATATTAGAATGTTTGTTTAAGAATCTTTTTTTTTTTTTTTTTGAGACAGAGCCTCAAGCTGTCCCCCTGGGTAGAGTGCCGTGGCATTACAGCTCACAGCAACCTCCAACTCCTGGGCTCAAGCGAGTCTCCTGCCTCAGCCTCCCAAGTAGCTGGGACCACAGGCGCCCGCCACAACGCCCAGCTATTTTTTATTTTGGTTGCTGCCGTCATTGTTGTTTGGCGGGCCCGGGCTAGGGATTCGAACCCGCCACCTTAGGTGTACGTGGCTGGCGCCTTAGCCGGTTGAGCTATAGGCGCCCAGCCAAGAATCTTATAAGACATGTCTCCTCATGTTGTGTAGGCTAAGCATGATGAAGATCAATAAATTTCTAAGACCCAGCCCCAACTTTTAAGGGGCTAACATCTAATAGTCATAAAAATACAAAAAGAAAATAAGATCCAAATGGATTAAAACAATAAAGGCTATAAGAGAGAAAGGAAGAAGAACATATTTCAGGCTGGAGTGGTTAGAAATAGTTAAAAGAGGAAAAGATTAGTTGAATCTTAAAGAAAATGCAGAAGTTAGATATTGTTATTAGACCTATTCCTTACAGGGCCTACTTCACTCCCAGTAGCCCATTCTAGCTACACATGCCCCACTCCCAGCCACCTACTCAAATTACACTGGACTGTTCTTTAATTAGGAGGCCATCACTAATTAGATTTACAGTGTTAGCTCAAGAGGGACCCATAAATAGATTAACAATGACTTGACATTCCTTGTCAAGACATGCTCTCAAAAGGAATAATAGAAATTAGCTAAACTGATCAGACTGCCTGCTTTAAGAATTTTTTTTTTTTTTTTTTGAGACAGTCATACTTGATCACCCTCAGTGGAGTGCTATGGCGTCTTAGCTCACAGCAACCTCAAATTCTTGGGTTAAAGTGATCCTCTTGCCTCAGCCTCCTGGACAGCTGGGACTACAGGTGCCTGCCACAACGCCTGGCTATTTTTAGAGATGGAGTCTCACTCTTGCTCAGGCTGGTCTCCTACTGGTAAGCTCAGGCAATCTACCGCCTTGGCCTCCCAAGTGCTGGGATTACAGGCATGAGCCACCGTGCTCAGCCCTGCTTTAAGAATTTTAACTAGAAAATATAAAGAACTAATCAGTTAAAAGAGAACAGAAATCATACGCAGACAAGTTGATGCTGTGAAAGGGACAAAGAACAGCTCTTTATTAGGGGCACTTGGGTTTCTGATAATCCACATGCATCCTTTTTCAAACAATTCTCTCCTTACCTAAGGTGGCCCAAATGAGCACCTTGCCCTGGTAACCAAAAGAGCCAAAGTATCATAAATAGAACAGGGCATTCCACATAAAACAGAAATGTGCAGAACAAACTTGGTTCAGCAATGAACAGACCAGTAAAGAAGAAAAAAAGATCTAAGAAAGGAGTGTAGGAAATAAGGTTGACAGAAAAAGATACAAATAAACTGGAGGCCATTACATAAGCCAGGCTTAAGAGTTTGAAGTTTAGTCCATCATTCGATACATAATTTAATTTTAGAGCAACAAAAAGTTCCTGAGAACATAAGTGACATAACCAAAACAGTATTTTAAGAAAGATCAACTTCAAAGAAAGATGTAAAATGGAGTAGAAAGAGAAACTAGAAAAGGCTTTGCAGTAATTTTAGCAAAATAATGACTAGCATTTGGATTAAAATTGTTGGAAGGGTCTGGAGAAAAAGGGATATGTGAAAGAAACATTACATAGGAAAAACTAGTAGGTCATGGTGACAAAATAATTCAATCCAGTCAACAAAATATTTACTTATCACTGCTTATTACATGCCTGATGTTGTTCTAGCCTGGAAATTCCCCAATGAACAAAACTGACAAAACTCTCCCTGGAACTTAAATTCTAGTTAGGGAGATGGACAATAAACATGTAATATATTAAGTGGGGATGAGGGCTATGAAGAAAAGTAAATGAGGGGAAGGAGAATAGGGAATAATGGACAGGAAAGGGGTTACTGTCTTATAATGTATGTATGTGTAGTATAACCAAGGAAGATATCTCTGGTAAAGTGACATGTAAATAGAGAATCATAGAAGCAAAAGGAATGAGCCAATGCAGAGAGATTGGGAATGGGGAACTAAAAGAAAAGTAATTCTAAAATTCAAGGCTAGTGCCTTAGGAAAAAGTGATACTGCCAGAAGAAGGAATTTGAAGAGCCCATTATTTGGAGATGAGAAAAATGCTGTTAGCTGTTATGATTAAGGGATAGTGGAATATCCAAGCAACAATGTCTAGCATGCACCTGAAAATACAGGTCTGCAATCTGGAACATCAAACCTAGAGGTAAATACATAGGAGTCATTCACAGAGGATAGATAAGCTTAGAAAACAGACGAATATTCCAAAGGAAGGACTGAAACGAAGGAAGATTAGAGCGCTATGGACTATGCCTTGAGGACTTTGATATTTAGCTTGGGAAGATGAGGGAAATACCTAAGAGGACAGAGAAGTAACCATAACCCCTATGGCTCCTTAAAGCCTACAAAACAAAATCTAAAGTCTTTACATATGGCACTGAAAGCCTGTAGGACATAATGTTAATCTGCATCTTTAGCCTTGTCTCTTACCACCACCTGCCCCTATACTCTTCAGCATCTCTAACAAGGTATATTTTCTAGCCATATGAAATGTCTTTTTTCTGATTATACCTTTTATTTCACAACTCAATACCCTGAGCCTAGGATCTCATAATGATTACTCTATGATATACTCAAAGATGCTTAAAATATAGTGCAGGTCAAATCAAACAACTGTAGATCAGATATGGGCATCTCTTAGGACAGGGGAACAATGGCAAGATAGGATGTTAGAAGTCAACACTGCTGGGACAGAGAATAATGAAAAACACAGTTCTAAAGGAGATGGGAAGGAATCAATACTTACTCCTCACCACTTTTTTATGCTCCCTTACAGCAGCAGCTCTCAACCTGTGAGTCGTGAGCTATATCTAACTTGATGGTTTCTGAGGCATAAACCCAGGACTATGGCTCCTGCTCTCTAACCTCCCCTGGTATCTGCCCATTTTTTCCTTACTGAATTGTTTTTACACTTTAGTTGAGTATCATTGTTTGAAATAATAAACCTGACTGATAAACCTACTTAAAGCATATCCACAACATCGTTTAGAATGTGCAAATCATCTAATCAGGGTCACAGCCATACCTTCCATCACCTTGGGCAGATCTCCAGTTGTTTGTTTCTTTTGCAGCCCAATGATATCAGCTAGAAAATTAGATGAGGGAGGAGGCAATCGGAATTTCTGAAAATATATAACAGGTTTTATATTAAGTGCTTAAAAGCAGTTCAAATTCTGTGAAAAGCCAGTGTTATGAAAGGTGTAACAACAGTTGTTTGCACGGTAAAATGAGAACTATTTCCTTAATATGAAAAAGTAGCTTGGTAAATAAACCCACGCTTACAACCTTACCCCTTGAAATTTTCTTTGCTTCCCAGATTACTGATTGTAGGAAAGGACAAACTTTATAGAAATGTACAGCTTAGACAAGGAAAGTGCCTTATATTTTTCAAAGCACTTCCACATCTATTATTAGACAACATGCCATGTAATCACGATAGATGATGCAACATGGCAGAAAGGTTGAATGTTCCAGCCTCAGGTTTACCTAGACTTCAGTTCCAGCTCTACCATACCAGCTATAACTTGGGTGAGTTACTCAGTTTCATGTCTAAAATGGAAATAAAAAAGCATCTATCTCTTACAGGACTCTAAGAGATAATACATGTAGCATGGTGTGTATCATCTACTATTAATATAGGGCGTGGCACTTAAGACATGCACTATACTGAAAGCAAAAAGAAAAGGATGACCCAGAGAAATTAAATTAGGGGTCACCAACTCAAACACTTTCAGGGGAGAATGGATAAAACAAGCCAATAGGAAATGAAAGAGCTATGGGGAAAGAGGACACAAGCCTCTTTCTAAACATGTCAGTTGCTATTCAGCTCTATATATTGTTCTAAAGGTACCCATTCTTTTGATTTTTCTGAGAGAAAAACATAGATTTTTATGTAAATGTTACATTTCTGAAAACATCATAATTCAAATAAAATAGTTAACCATCTGGGAAGTAAAGATTATAATCTGGGAATAAGTATTTTGCCTAGATTACCAAAGAAAAACAGAGACAAATCTAATTTCAATATATGCTAACTAAATCTTAGTCCTTTTGTTTTCAGTATCCCCTATTAGGTTACCAAACAGAGTCAGGTTATCAAGGAGCATGGTCCCAGACACACGTACTATTTTTAGGATGGGAGGACTTGACTTAGCCTCTACACAAATTTTTTGTAACTTACATGTCTGAACACCTTTCGAAGAAATCCAAACTCCAAATAGAACCTGTAAAAGTGTAGCTGACTCATTCCCTGCAGAACAAAAACCACCACATTGTTCAGGTGGTTCTGGTGAAAAAGCTGGCACCAGCTGTTGAAAAATCAAACCAAAACAGCTAAGAGTAATGCCTTCAAGTCAGTCATAGGTATATACAAAGAAGTATGAAAAAAAATGCAGTGACAACTAATAGAATTTGTCATCACTTGCTGACTGCCTCAAATTTCAAGACAGCCATTACTGCATGGAATTCAAATAAAGATCTTTTAAAAAATATTTGTTGCATTTAAATACAATGGAAACAAAAATGCAGTGCAGTAAAACATACTTAAATCCATCATCCTATTAAAATTCGTTTTAAATCAGAACTAAGATCACTTTACAAATACTCATTTCCAAGATCCCAAACTATTCTTCAGCCCTTCGTAAGCCAGGTAATCAAATGGCTGGCTTCAAGAAATTCAGTTTTAGATAAACTGACAACCTAATGACAGTACCTACTGTAAAAAGATGACTTTTAAACTAGCCAATTCATAAAAACTTCCCCCGGAAAAATGTGTACATTTAAAAATCTAGAGTTGTGTGCAGTGGTGCACACTTAATATCCCAGCTACTTAGGAGGCTAAGATGTGAGAAATGCTTGAGCCCAGGAGTTTGAGAACAAACTGAGCAACACAGTAAGACCCCACCTTAAACAAAATCTCTTTACTAGTACATATATAAAGACAATTTTCATAAGACATTTAAGAATGGCAGAATGGCACTGACAATATCAAAACAGTAAAAATTCCTCTTTCCCCTTTACTTTCAAAATATAAAAAAAGGACCGTAACTCTCAGCCTATCAATCTGTTATTTCAACTACATTTGTACTGGGGGAAGCAAAGTAACTATAGCAGCCAGACAGATATAGTAAGGGAGGTAGGCCAGGTAAGACATGCCCTGTCTAAAGGGACAGGCCACCACACAGCTTTGACAAATTATTTCCATGTGGAAATAAAGGGACTGCTTGCTGCCAGGTCTTTGAGTTTTTTAAAGAAGTAAAAAATTGGGATTTTTATATATGAATTTTCAGATTTAACTATTGGTAGCTTTCATAAAAAAAATTTTTTAAGACATGTTGCATAACAAAAATAATATAAGCCAGATATGGTCCTTTAGACACCAGTTTGAATCTCTGGCTTTATGCCCACCAACCATTTTAGTTAAATTCATACCTGGGTTTAGGAACGCTGGATTTGCCCAGAACTGCATATTTTAGCAATTCACATAGCTGGCCATGGGTTACTTCACAGTTTTCAGCAAATAAAATGGTAGATAAGCGGGCTTTCTGCAAAGATAAAACAGAGGACAGTAACCCGTGATTGTCTAGAATAGCAACAAAGCAAGGCAAATTATTAAATTATTCTAGTTTCTGATTACTTTAACATACAGGTATATCCAATCAGCAAAAAGCATTTCAAATAACTGAAAATGAAAGTCTAGAAAACCACTAACTATGACATGACATTATTATAATAACAGGATATTTAATAAACACTAATACGGAACCTGAATTACAGATACTTGGTTACATGCTACAAATAGTAGAAGGAATAACAACTCACGATCTCAAGGAGTCCATTCTACTATGGGGAAAAAATGTAAAAATAGGTAATTTCAACACAGTGTAGGTAAATGCTATTACAAAAGTATGAGAACAAATAGGCTAACTACCTAGGGGGTTACAGAGTTTGGGGATGGCTGCTGAGATGAAAAAATACTGCCACTGAGGGCTGAGTCTTAATAACACCTGAACCTTTATAATCAGTCTACAAGGTTTGAAGAAACATTGCATTCAAACTCACAGTTCAGTTTGCTTAAAGCCTCCACGGCCTCGAGCTCTTAACTGCTATACTCTGCTGTGTCCCAGACCAAAATGAAAGAGAGTCTTACAGGTCACTTATTTCCATTTATCTATTGTGTGTGTTTGTCTATTTTAAGTTTTTCCATTGTCTAAATATAATAACTTCCATGAATTATTCAACCAGATATAAGTACAAAGCTTTTTTAAGGAGTGCAAAGAAACCTTCATTGAACTGCTTGTTGCCCTGGGATAAATTCTGACTTCTTAGCGTAGACCACATTGATTTATGATCTAGGTGCTGTTTCCCTTTCCTTATATCTCCCCAACTGACACGAAATCTTGGCTCTATCATCTTGGACTAGTGCCTTAATCTTTCTAAGACTCAGTTGCTTCACCCATAGAGTATTTTATCTCATTAAATTATTGAGAAGACCAGTAAGTTAGCATAAGTTCAACATACTAAGACTAGTGTCTAGCATACTATAATACCAGAATGGTTGCTAGTTTCCTCCCACAGCCTCAAGCTAATGTTGAACACTTATTATTAGCTAGATACATTTCTGAGCACTTTACATGTGGTAAATGTATTTAATTCTCAAAACTCTTAAGTAAACACTACTATCCCTATTTTATAGGTAAAGGAATGAAGAAATAGAAAAACCAAAATTGGAATACAGACTCCAAAACTTAAACTCTTTTCATCTCTAGCTATATTGTCCCCAAAGGAGTTAGCCATCCATTGCCCTCAGTAGAGTACCATGGCGTCACGGTTCACAGCAACCTCAAGGTCTTGGGTTTGATTCTTTTGCCTCAGCCTCCCAAGTAGCTGGGACTACAGGTACCTGCCACAACATTCAGCTATTTTTTTTTTGTTAGAGTTGTCATTGTTGTTTAGCAGGCCTGGGCTGGGTTCAAACCCACTGCCCCAGTGTATGTGGCCAGTGCCCTAACCACTGAGCTACAGGCACAGAGCCTATCTATTGTTTTATAATCAACTTCCTACCCCTAACTTAATCTCTGAATATCTTTCCATGTTAGTTAAATGTAACAGATATTTTTATACTTCAGTAATAGCCCATTATCTAAATGTATCTAAAAATGTATAATCTAAAAAAAAAAAAAGACTGTTTTTTTTTTTTCTTAGAGTCTTACTTTGTCATCCTTGGTAGAGTGCCATGGCACTAGAGCTCACAGCAACCTCAAACTCTTGGGCTTAAGTGATCCTCTTGCCTCATCCTCCTAAGTAGCTGGGACTAGAGGCACCTGCAACAGCCCCTGGCTACTTCTTTAGAGATGAGGTCTTGCTCTTGCTCAGACTGGTCTTGAACTCCTGAGCTCAGGCAATCCACCCACCCTGACCTCCCAAAGTGCTAGGATTACAGGCATGAGCCACCACACCAGGCCCCGACTTTGTATTTTTTTAAATTATAAATATTATGATGAACATGCTATCCTGTATACCTATCAGTTTCTCAAGATAAATTGCTGGTCAAAATGATCATGTGTATCTTACATTTTGATAAATATTGCTAACTCCTGAAAGAACATGACAATTTATTTTTACCAATCAAAAATGAGACTAAGTTGAGATTGCAAGAGACAGAGGTCTGTATCTCTCTACATGGTGGTGAGTGACCATGACTGCCAGGCATGAAATGTCAAGAGCCTAAGTAGGAGAAGGTGGGTATCCTACAAGGAAGACAATAGTCCAGCACTGGTAGCAGAAGCCTAGCACATCTAAGCAGGAAGGTACCCCAGCATGGAGTATAAATGCCTAAGCAACATTAGGTCATCCACTGGTGGGGGTGGGAGGTAGTGAGGCTTCACATGAGATGTCAGATACTGTTTAGCATAAAGAGGGTATCAATGCTGAGGATAGTAGTGGCCTGTTTCAGGATTCAAAGTCTCAGTGCGGTGAGGGTGTCCATGTGAGAGGGATGGTAGTAGTAGCCTGTCACAGGAACAATGAGGGCACTAACAAAGGAAGGTGACCTAGTGCAAAGGTAATGGAGCCCAAGAAGGGTGAAGAGGCTATGTGTGGAAGAGAGCAGTGGCAGTGAGGGGGGGATTAGTCAAACATATTGAAGACATTGGGAATCAGGTTTCTCACTTTCAGAGAAGGAAGTTACAAACATGCAAAGAAAGAAAACTACAATGACCCTGTGCCTGGTGCAGCAGTCCCACCCTGGACTGCTTGAACTCAGGAGTTTGAAATCAGCCTGATTAAGAGCAAGACCCTGTCTCACAAAAAAGAAACCCAGAAAAAGTAGTCACATATGATGGTGTGTACCTATAGTTCCAGCTACTGGGGAGGCTGAGACGGGGGATTGCTTGAACCCAGGAGTTTGAGGTTACCAACAAGCTATGATCAGATCACTGCACTCTAGCCCAGGCAACAGAAAGATGCTGTCTCTTATGAAAAAAAAAAAAGTTGGCTAGGGGTAGTTTTTTGCACTCTTTTTCCAACTTTTCTGTAAGTTTAAGGAAGTTTCAAAATTTAAAAAAAAACGTTGCTTTCCTAAGCCACAGATTATGGGTTCAAGTCCCATCTGAGGTACAAAACAAAATAAGTTAAAAATGGCAGGATGGCCTTGACACCTGTAGCACAGCGGTTACAGCGCTAGCCACATACACCCAGGGTGGCAGGTTCAAACCTGGCCAGGGGCCAGCTAAAATAACAATGACAACTGCAACAAAAAATAGCCAGACATTGTGGCGGGTGCCTGTAGTCCCAGCTACTTGGGAAGCTGAGGAAGGAGAATCGCTTAAGCCCAAGAGTTTGAGGTTGATGTGAGCTGTGATGCCACAGCACTCTACCAAAGGGCAACACAGTGAGACTCTGTCAAAAATAAAAAAAAAAAAAAAAAAAGGCAGATGCAAAGGTCTATGTCCCTAATACCAGTGACTAGAAAACCTAAGGCAGAATTCTTGCTTGAAACCAGCCTGGTAACATAGTGAGACCCTAGAGCTCTAAATAGAGAGAGAAGAGAAGAGACAGGGAAGGGGGGAAGGGAGAAGACGCAGAGGGGAGGGGGATAAATAAGGGAGGAAGAGGGAGAAGAAGGGAGGGGAAATGGGGGAGAGAAGAGGGAGGGGAGGAGGAGATAAATAAGAGAAATTGTCAATCTCGTTACACTTTTTACTACATTAACATTCACATTTTTCTTGCCAATGTGATAAGCAAAAAATTGGAATTCCATTTAATAAAACGTTCATAACTCTAATCCCCTTTCAACATATAACAAATATTCATGATTACCTATTTTATAACACCTGTCTGTCCACTAGAACATAAGCCCTATTAGAGGAGTAATCTTTATTTACTGATTTACCGTTAAGTGCCCAGTTAAGCGGCAGACATTTAGCTCTCCATAATTGGTAGGGATGACGATCAGCCTTATTACTCCCCTACCGGAATGTAAATTGCACAGGAATAGGGAATTTTGTGTTTCTTGTGTACTGGGTTAGCCCAAGAACCATAAAACAATTTTATTTGTTGAATGAACATTACTACCATGTGCAAGGTACTACAACACTTTTAAGCCACCAGTTAACGCGGGAGCCTGACTGCTTCCAGGGACCGGGGCGGGCGGTTAGGGTCAGGGTCTGGGAGCTCCGCACCGCCTGCCAGGGCTCCCCTTTGGTCACCTTGGCCTCGGGCTGCCTCTCTTCAAGATCCCAACGGGCTCTCAACGCCTCAGCCGCCCCGACCAGCTTGTTCGGGGCCCGCCTCCTCTTCCTGCCCTTCTTGAGGTTCCTCCCGGTCCTTTCCCTTTCTGGTTCCATGAGGCTGTGAAGAAAGAAGCCAGAGCTGAGGAAACTCCAACGCCCAGATTCCCGGCAGGCCGCCTCTCCTGAGGGAAGAGCAGGAAGGGCTGACAGCGTGTAACCTCCCTCAGATCCGATCCTCAATCCACAGTTTACAGAGTCCTTCCTGCTCCCGCGAAAACCGAGGGCGCACGATCTTCCCCACTCCGCGCCCAAGAGCGCCGCCCCGCACCAAGCCTAACGGCTTTACCGTCCGCGTCGGGGGCCAAATTCCAAACGGCTTCCCAACGGAAACGCCGCGCCCCTGGCCCGCGGCAAAGAGATGAGAGGGCGCTGCCGAGCGGCTGCCGGGCCTTAGAGACCTCCCTGCGCAGCTCAGCCCCGGGAACGCAGAATAGAAGCCGGGCAGACAGTAGAACACCCGCTACTTCAGCCGCCGCAGCCGCCGCCTCGCCCGCGCCCGGCGTTTGAACGGACCGGAAGTGGAGTGAACGACTTCCGCCAGTTGGACTTCCAGAGCGGGGCGTGTCGGGAATGGCGACCAAGCGGCTGGCGCGGTACGTGAGTGGATTTGGGGCTGGGGCTCCGCTCGTGGTTCGGTGCTGGCCTCCGCTACAAAGTTAGGCGGATGGTATCTTCGGCGGCAGCGTCTACTCTCCGCGCTCCGTGCGTCTTTAGCCGGATCACAAATGCCCCTGATGAGATTTCGGCCGCGAGCTCAGGCCGCCGTCTGCTCGAGGGCGAAGGAGCTCCAGGCGGAGGAACCTTGGGCTCTTGACTGTGGCCTTGAGTCAACGTGTAGGCGCGTTTTAGGCTCTTGGAAACGACGGGAAATGACTGTGCTCTGTAGACTGGTCGAAAGTCTCGGGCGGGACATCAGGCCCCTCATCCCACCACCTCCTCACTGAAAGTTTAATTTGTAATATGAATCACTGCTGCTTTTTCCCTGATTGCTGGACGTGCTGTTCGCCTTGCTGATTTCTAGAAGCAATATAATGTATAGTGGTCTTTAGAGTTGGACAGCCCAGCGTTGTCATACCAAAGCTGGATTCTTTGGGAAATTCACTGACTCTCTTTCCTCATCCATAAAATATAAGTAGCAAAAGTTTGTCTGCTTCCTACAGTTTTTGAGGAATAGGTGAGGTCATCATTTTATCTTAGCTTTTTGAACCTGCAGCCTTAAGGCCACATGTGGCCTTTTACATCATTAAGTGTGGTCTTTTGACTGAATCTATAAATTTTATAGAACAAATCCTTTTTATTAAAAAGGGGTGGAGCAGAGAAAGGTAAGGATTTTCTTGCTTCTTTTGGTGCTTAAACAACAAAAGAACAGTCTTGAAAGTAAAAGACCACGGGTTCCCCACTCCTAAAAGTATCTGCTATGTAAGCAATAAATGCTAGCTGTTATTATTCCCAAATCTTGGTTCTTCCCTCTCACCTCTTAAACAGAAAACCACAACAGAAGGTGACTAGTTAGAACTCTACCTACTCATTGTAGTGTTTTGTCTTACTTGCACTAAGGACTGGGCTTAGGACCTCTGTAACCTTTTCCCTTTCCTTGGACCCTAGGATATTCCCTTTGGGTCCCTTATGTATTACTTTGCAGTGGTTCCTTGACTCTCTTGTTTCTTTACTTAACATTTTTAAGTTAGAAGCCTGAACCATGCTCTGTGTTGTTTTATTTCCTTGGAATTGTGCTCTACACATAGCAAGGGCTTGAAAAATACAAAGGCAAAAATAACATCAGCTTTTTGGGTACATTTTTAAGCATTTCAAGCTTTTTGGTACATTTTTACCTTTATAATCATTTGAGTCAAGATTACTGTGTTAAAAGACAGACTTTAGACAAATTAAATTCAACACAGTTTAATTGAAGAAAGATTTGCAAATGAGGCAGTCCTCCAACTAGAATAGATTCAGAGTGACCCCAGTGTGCTGCTAACATGGGTGGGATAGGATTTATGGACAGAAAACAGAAGGGAGGTTATGGCCAGTTTGGTTACAGCTTGCCCTTTGGCTGATTGGAAACAAGGTTTGAATATTTGACCACCTGTGATTGGCCAAAACTCAGTGATTGGTACAATGGTGGGTTACAGTCATTTTGCTTTAGGCAAAACTTTCAACAACTGTAAAATAAATGTAGCAGAAACAGTTAACCTAAGTTTGCAAATATAACATATATTTTTGAGGTCCATGAGGGTCCATAGTTGAGTTCAATTTCCTCTCAGGTTAATGAGGGTTTTGCTATGTCCAATACCATTAGTTTGGTCCATTAGTCTATTCCAATAGGAGTGTGAATGAGTTCATTGATCATATTGGATTGTTCCACATTTTTAGGCAGCTTGGATTAATTAGGAGAAAATCAATTGCACCAGCAAATGGAAATCCAGGAAGAAGTAAATCCAGTGAGTAGCGTACTTAGTTTCTTTATTTTGAGGAGCCTTCCACTTTTAACACTAGTAAAGCACAAGTACACCTTGATCTTTTGCAGAGCAGTTGTTTGACTACTTAATTGTCATTGATTTTGAGTCGACATGCTGGAATGATGGGAAGTGCCACCGTACCCAGGAAATAAGTAAGTCAGAATTGCCAATCCCAAAGCTAACACTTGATGAGTCTCTTTAAAGTTTATAGATATAAACCAACCAAATGTTTCAGAAAACTAAATGATCTGTGATTTAGTAGTTTAATATAAAACCTGTCTTAACTAAAAAAACAAAATCCCAAATATCTAAATGTGTCATTATATAAAATATGTTTTAAGATTACATACAGAACCTCAATGACATAGAAACTGAAAAAAAAAAAATGTTTTCAAAAAATGAGCACATTTCTAATCCCATTTAAGAGTTTTCAGCTGGGTGTAGTTTCTCAGGCCTGTAATCCTAGTACTCTAGGAGGCTGAGGCAGGAGGATAGCTTGAGCTCAAGAGTTTAAGAACAGTTGGAGCAAAAGTGAGACCCAGTCTACTAAAAATGGAAAAGTTAGTCAGGTGTTGTGGTAGCCATCTATAGACCCAGCTACTCAGGAGGCTGAGGCAAGAGGATCACTTGAGCCCAGGAATTTGAGGTTGGTGTGAGCTAGGCCGATGCTGTGGTATTCTAGACTGGGGCAACAGAGTGAGACTGTCTCAAGGGAAAAAAAGTTTTCTTTTAGTAGATATATAACTTCAATATTTTGACTAATTCTTGGTATTGTTCTATTTTAATCTTTATATCACACTGCTTTGGTCATTTTAATAAGCTTTTACTAAAACTTTCTAATAATGCTGTTATGGTAATATATATTTAATTTAGGGTAATTACAGCATTAATTTAAAAGTTATACATACTCAAGTGTCAATTGGTAATTCTTTCATTTAGTTGAATTTCCTGCTGTATTATTGAACACATCAACTGGAGACATTGAGTCTGAGTTCCATGCTTATGTTCAGCCTCAGGAACATCCAATTCTTTCAGAATTTTGCATGGAACTTACAGGCATAAAGCAGGTATGATATAAATTTTAAAATTCAGTAATCAATTTCAAAAAGAAAGTTATATATCATTTGGAATTAGATTATTTCAGTGTTGGGAGAATTAATGTCCCCTCCAGAAGTCCATTGGATCTTAAAAAATTACAAAAAGTAGTGTTATTTGGGATTCAGGACTAGATATTTTTAAAAGACTGTTATAAAAATGAAGATCAAATTTATTTTATGGATATAAAGTGATTTTGAATTTGTCACTTATATATTTAATGATTTAATGATTATATTTTTGTGGGATTTTTAGATTTATCAACCTGAATTTTCTTACCTTGGAGAACTTTCATCATTATTTCTCTCCTATGTATTTTAACATCTTTTCACTAGCTAACCTCTTTGCCAGTTAGAACTTCTTTGTTACATCCTCCCACAGTGCCTACCCTATTCAAATATGTGCTCAGTAATTATGGAATTGACTATTGAATTCAGATTTTATTACTTTCTAATTCAGGCACAAGTTGATGAAGGGGCCCCTCTGAAGATTTGCTTATCTCAGTTCTGTAAATGGATTCATAACATTGAGCAACAGAAGAAAATTATTTTTGCTGCTGGGGTTTCAGAGCCTTCTACTTCTGAAATAAAGTTATGTGCATTTGTTACTTGGTCAGGTAAAAAATAAGTTATACCTACCATGTTTCCCCCAAAATAAGACCTACCCAAAAAATAAGCCCTAGCAGGATTTCTATGCATTTGTTAAATATAAGCCCTACCCCAGTAATAAGACCTACCTATGCGTATCTGCATAGCCAAGCCGTGCATTTTGGCAGGAAGCAGTAAGGAAGACTGGACTACCTATTATCTGCCATAGTTCCTTTCTCCAAGCCGTTTGCACTTGGATAGGTGCACATGTGGTAACTGCAGTGGCAGGCATCCTATTATGCATGTGCAAACGGCTAGGGGAAAGGCGTTGATACCTCACTAGCACCAGGCCCACCAACAAGGTCGGCTCCCCCTGTCAGGTTCCGGAAGAGGGTGACTTAACTGTATTTGAATAAATGTAGATTGTAGTATTATACTTTATAAAAATAAGACATCCCCTGAAAATAAGCCCTAGTATGTCTTCTTGAAAAAAAAATCAATACAAGACAGTGTCTTATTTTCAGGGAAACAGGTATCGATCATCATAGGATAATGTTAACCACTATGTAATTTTTTATTTCTATTTTTATACTTAGAATTATATTTATTAACCTCCTTGGCCAAGTAAAGAAATCCAAGTGTCTAACAGATGTTAACCAAGAAACATCTAAAACTGCCATTCTGGAATAACTTAAAATTTTAAGCCTTAACTTTAAGACTCTTTTTAGATTTTCTTTTCTTCTGAATCCAGGCAAAGATGATGTAGTAAAAACTCTTACATTATTTTCTATATCCTTGAATAAAGCATCCTCATTCAGCTTACATCTTTTGCTTTTGTGCTTTGACACTTAATGTAGGCATCAAGGGGGAAAAGGGCTGTTTAAAGTAGGTCTTTGTGTGACTGTGATATATATAGCATTGCCATTAATAGTCATTGATAACAATACTGTGCCAATGATAGCATAGCAGTGATGTCATATTTGGTTTCCAGTTACTATAGAATGTTTGGTTTCTCGATTATATTAATATTTTTTTAGACTATAGGAAATATAAGCTGTGTAATTTAATACCTTACTCTTTCTGAAGTAGTGCTTTTGGGGGGGGGGTTTAAGAAATCATTTTGAGGCTCGACGCCTGCAGCTCAGTAAGTAGGGCACCAGCCATATACACTGAGGCTGGTGCGTTCGAGCCAGGCCTGGACCTGCTAAACAATATTGACAGCTGCAACCAAAATATAGCCAGGCATTGTGGCAGGCGCCTGTAGTCCCAGCTACTTGGGAAGTTGAGGCAAGAGAATCACTTAAGCCCAGGAGCTGGAGGTTGCTGTGGGCTGTGATGCCACGGCACTCTGCCAAGGGTCAGAGACTCTGTCTCAAAAAAAAAAAAAAAAAAGAAATCATTTTGAGAATTAGTTTTATCATGATTAAAAACTAATTTTTAAATAGTTATATAAAGTAAATAATTTTTTAGATACTAGGGCAATTAAATCTTACTATTCTATTTTATATTGTCTTTCAACATTCAATTTGTAAATGGTAGTAGCATAAGTAAAAAATTCTGGCATCATTGACTTTTTTCTATTTTAATGTACTTAATGCAGACTGGGACTTGGGGGTTTGCCTGGAGTATGAGTGTAAAAGAAAACAACTGCTAAAGCCTGTGTTCTTAAATTCTTGGATTGATCTCAGAGCAATTTACAAGGTAACAGCCAAATGTGGGGGTACATATTCACTTTCCTTCTTTTGGTGAAAAATTATTAAATTTTATCTCACACGTGGGTAAGAGTTTCTTTAAATAAGATAGTTTTTGAAATGTTCACATAAATATATTCCTTAAAGTACTTAAAAGTAGCACAACAAAAATAAGCACATTCCAAATCTAATAGAACTAAAAATTATGAAAAGTGGTTAACACATAGGTTTTCAAATAGTAATTATTTTTTACATATGTCTTCTTTTATTTGATTAGCTTTTCTATAGGCGAAAACCGAAAGGACTAAGTGGTGCCTTGCAGGAAGTAGGAATAGAATTCTCAGGACGAGAACATTCTGGTAAGTTAAATTATAAATCATCTTATTATGTAAATCATTTTACTTTAATAAGATATTCCAGATGAATTTCATTTATTGGTAATATTATTAATATAAGGTATATTCTTCAGCGTAAAAAAAATTAAAATTGTTTCTAAAACTTGGAAATTAATCACTTTTCATAAACTATTGTAAGATAAAGATTGCCATCTAGTGGCTTTCTATTTGCTAAAAAGAATGAAAAGAATTAGCCAAATCAAAAAGGAGACTGAAGTACCCAAATGATACAGTGTCCTAGTGAAAAAACTGAACAAGACTGTTAAATTACTCACAAATCATAGTCCCTACAGAATGTTGGTCACAATTTGGGGAACTGTCTAACAAGTTTTCACATCTCTGTAAATGCGGAATGTCTTGTTTTTCATTGGTAATGCTGCCACAGCTCTCCACAAGACCAGTTTATCATGATTAAAATCAATATATGGGCTCAGCACCTGTGGCTCAAGTGGCTAAGGCACCAGCCACATACACCTGAGCTGGCGGATTCGAATCTAGCCTGGGCCTGCCAAACAACAATGATGGCTGCAACCAAAAAATAGCCAGGCATTGTGGTGAGCACCTATAGTCCCAGCTACTTGGGAGGCAGAGGCAGGAAACTCGCTTGAGCCCAGGAGTTGGAGGTTGCTGTGAGCTGTGATGCCACAGCACTCTACCTAGGGCAATAGCTTAAGTCTCTTCTCAAAAAAAATAAAATAAAATCAATATATGGCCATCTCTCTGGGAAGCTGAGTCAGGTGGATTGCTTGAATTCGGGAGTTGCAGACCAACCTGAGCCAGAGCAAGACCCCATCTCTAAAAATATTTGGGCATTGTGGCAGGTGCCTGTTGTCCCAGCTACTCAAGAGACTGAGGCAAGAGAATCACTTGAGCTCAACAGTTAAAGGTTGCTGTGAGCTATGACACTCTTAACTTTTACCCCTTTTTCCCGTTATATTGTTTTTTATCTATTTTCTCAGGGTTGGATGATTCTCGGAATACTGCGCTTCTTGCTTGGAAAATGATCAGGGATGGTTGCCAAATGAAAATTACAAGGTCCTTGAATAAGGTTAGTGGTGTCTTGCCGCTATTCTGTCATCTCAAACTCCAGAAGTAGTCATAGATTCATTGAAATGCAGATTTCATGTATGAAATCAATTATAAATTACACTTTTCTTCTTTGTCATGTCATATAATGTATACTAAGGAAGCTATGAATGCACAGTTTCTAAAGCTATTGGATTTGTCTGTGGAATCATAGGTTTCTGCTAAGAAGAATCCCAGAATTCTGGCCACAAATGTGAATACAAATCAAGTTGAAGAAGCATTTGCCTGCAACATTAGCATACAGGATTCCAGCATATATGAGAGGGAGCCTAAAAATCCAATGAATTCTCATGAAAAAGTTCAAGTGGAGTCAATTTGTGTGAATTCTACTATAAAAGTACAGCAGGATCAATTACCAGCAAAGAATGTAAAAGCAGGTCTTCACAATGTCAAAAGCTGCTTTAAGTCCTCTACTTCTCTGGGGCAGTTGCAGTCTCCTACCTTGAATTTGCCTGTCAATATGCAGAAGCAAAGAAAAACTGAGCATCTTGCATTTAATACCAAAACTAAGTCTTCAACAACTGGTTCAGAATTGGTACTTGTTTCTACCACCATTTCATCTGTTAATCATGTTTCTGATACAGAAATGAGTTCTGCTTTTGACTGTTTACCTATGTTGACTGACTGGGAGGATGTAGTTTTACTGCCAGCTTCTCAGCCAGAGCAAAATAGAGATTGTACAGTTCCCATTAGTGACTCAGGCTTAGATACCTCAATTAATTCTGAAGAAAGATTAATGGTTTTAAAAGAATCAGAAATGCTAAATCATGAAAACTTTCAAGACATAGAAGAAACTCCTCAAAAATCCGAAAATTCTAGGTCAATTGTGTATAAGAGTCCTCATACAACTATTTATAATATAAAAGAAACCAAACACCCAGGTTCAGATGTTTTTGCCTTTAAATTACCTGAACACAAATCAAGTACCTTCCATAGTGTTAATGCCAATGTGTCTTATCCTTTAGCTTTGGGGAAACATCCTCTTCCTTTAGGAGGTGTTAAAAGGAGTTCATCCAATCCCCCAACTTTCCCACCAGCAAAAAAACAAACCTTCAATATTCATGAAGAAAAACCTACATCATCTGATTGCCCCCCAGTAAAAATTTCTTCCCAGAAAGTTCACCCCTCTATATTAACTTCTACAGTTAACCTACAAGACCCCTGGAGGAGTGGGAAAATGACACCCCCCTTATGCAAGTGTGGCCGAAGATCTAAGCGACTTCTTGTTTCTAATAATGGACCAAACCACGGAAAAGTCTTCTATTGTTGCCCTATTGGGAAATTCCAAGAAAAAAGAAAATGTTGTGATTATTTCAAATGGGAAGAAACATTTAAAAAGGAAAGAGCCAACAAGGTAGTTCTGTCTCATTCCATACAGGGACTCACTTGTAGTTCTTCAGAAACAAGCCATACTCATGACAGAAATTTAGGTTTTTCCACTAAAAATTCTTTGAGACTCAGGCCTACAATGAGGAATTGATAAACTTTCCTGTATGAGTCTTAACTATTCCTTGTGTTCCCAAACATGAATATTCTGGTAATGTCTTATACTATTTATATTTTATATATTCACATTTGGTGAATTTATCATACTTAAAGAACCACAAGTGAAATATTTTATAAACTACATTTATTAGGTTAAATAGCAAAAAGGGCTGATATTTTTCTTTTATAGTTTGGCCTTGCAATAAGATTTAAACTATTTTTAGATTATGTGAACAAAAGTATTAGGAAAATTCCTAGTCTATTTTCAAGTAGATACTTGTTCTCTGAAAATTCTGATAATCTTTTAATACTTAACACTTTTCTAAAAACTTTTATAAGTTGTTTAGTATTATTTCACAGTTTGAACATAGGTTCTGACTTGTATATCAACATATCAGAAGAATTATTCATGGCTGGGCATGGTGGCTCACACCTGTAATCTTAGCACCTAGGAAGCCTAGGCGGGTGGATTGCTTGAGCTTAGGAAGTCAAGACCAACAAGGGCAAGACCCATCTCTACTGAAAACAGAAGAATTATTCAACTAAAATTTGAAAACCAATGGGACAAAGATTTGATTCTATATTATATATTTAAAAATTCCTCAGCAATTGATGACATTCATTTTATATTAACAAATTATAGCAACATTGACACTAATGCACAGGAATTTACCAAATGTTTTATTTTAGAATTCAGCCCTGATGTCATAACCGCAAGACATTTTAAATCAACAGTTCCTAAGCATGCTACCACATTTTTTTTTTGCAGTTTCTATAGATTTATAGATGCCACAGTAGTTAATAGAATGAATCTAAAGTGTTTTCCATTCTTTCTTCCTCAGTTCATTTCTTTTTATCTTCCCACTGACAGTCTTTGGCAGCTCTGGAATAAATTCTACCTGTTGGTATCAAGGAGAAGAAAATTAGTCCGGAAGTTTTCATCTTTAGATAAAGCCTCTTATATAGCAGTTACATGAATTCTAGGTGAAAGGATTAGGATGGGTGGGGTGGGTTTATGGTAATAACCCAAAAAGGGAGAGGAAGTATTGTTGAGATTTTCCTTGATAGTTAGGATTTATTGCAAGTGCTATAAGCCAACTAGCCAGGTAGGTTTATGGCAGGCGTCATCAAACTATGGCCCACGGGCCACATGCGGCCCGCCTAGGACATTTATCCCGCCCACCAGGTGTTTTTGCTGCCACTGCCTGTTCTGCTTAGCAGCCAACTCATCCCAGGGCCTGCAGTCTGGCCCTCCAATGGTCTGAGGGACAGTGAAATGGCCCCCTGTTTAAAAAGTTTGAGGACCCCTGGTTTATATAATAACTCAAAAAGAGAGAGGAGAGGTATTGTTGAGATTTTTTCTTGATAATTAGGATTTATTGCAAGTTCTGTAAGCCAGCTAGCCATGTCATTAGTTCAGTTTGGAACATTTGGTATTTGAGGAGAACATTTCATCAAAAAGGAAAAAATAAACAGCTGGAATTTTCTTAAACTCTAAGCACATATCATAATTAGAATGCCTACCTTTCTGGGATATTTGTAAGGTGCTGTAGTTTTTTTAACATGCTCCTGAATCTCCTTTTTAAGTTGTTCTTGATCATGTAACTTGTAATCAGGATTCAAAACAATAAAAGCCTTTACTACCTAAAATAAATATTTGAAACACCAAGAAGATGAGTTATGTATTTTTATGTTTTAGTATGGCTTATCTACTTTTTCTAAGTGGGAATCTAAGTGCCTTGTGTAGTGGGCCACAGTATTTAACAGGATTTAATCCCAGTTTATGAATTTAAGGATTTAATAATAGCTGTATGCTCTTAAGCCAACCATTTGACTCCTCCACATCTCCTGATATCTACTTACACAAGAGTGCTTCTGGGACCCCTGCTTTGTTTATAATCTACTCTTGAACCCTCTTATCTAACTACATCTTGAATTCTACTTTCTGACCTGTTTCTGATTATCTCTACCCTTAATTTCTTGTCTCATCTTTTATCTCCTTCAATTAAGTTTCCTCTTAGAAACTTGGCAGTGCAGTAAGCATAACTCTTACATAAAAACTCAGCCTGGTCCAAACAGGGTTCTAGGTCACCACCCTCCTTGTGGCTCTCATAAACAGTAGTCACACTGGGTTTGCCCTATCTTTGTTGAAGGGAACTGAGACAATGAACTATTTTTACAAGGCTGTGAAGATTCCAGCAGCCACTTTACTCTGATCCACTTAGCAGTTCTCAACCTGTGGGTCGCTACCCATAGGAACTGTATTAAAGGACCATGGCATTAGGAAGGATGAGAACCACTAGCTTAGATGGTCCTAAGGAACAAGAGTAGAAACTGGTGGCCTTTAGCTGTCAGAAGACAGGAAAGACTATGCACACAAATCCTAGTCCCTTAAGTTCACCCTACCCTGAACTGTTTTGGAAAGTCCTGCCTAAGGTTTTTGGACCTTTAATGTGACGACAAGATATGCCCCTCATGTATCTTCCAGAGTAATTTTGAGGTTCTATCAAGAGTTTTTCAACCTTTTCTATCTCATGGCACACTTGAACCTATAGTTAAACTTACACAGCATACTTAAATCACATTTAGATTAGATTGATCAATAAAAGAATAAAAAAAGAATATACTTATGGTACTTTGAACTTCTTTCAAAAATAATCTTTAAAAATTTTCATGGCACACCTAAGAGCCTCTCACACCACACCAGTTAAAAATAACTGCCAAGACTTGGTGCCTGTGGCTCAAGTTGCTAAGGGGCCTGCCACATACACCCAAGGTGGCGGGTTCGAATCCAGCCCAGGCCCGCCAAACAACAATGAGGGTTGCAACCAAAAAATAGCCGGGCGTTGTGGCAGGCACCTGTGGTCCCAGCTACTTGGGAGGCTGAGGCAAAAAAATTACCTAAGCCCAAGAGCTGGAGGTTGCTGTGAGCTGTGATGCTATAGCACTCTACCGAGGGCAACAAAGTGAAACTCTTATCTAAGAAAAAAAAGAAGGCAGAAGGAGCTGAGGCCCATGAAACCCTACTGGTATTAAGAGCAAGACAAGGCTCAGCGCCTATAGCTCAACCGGCTAAGGCGCCAGCCACGTGCACCTAGGGTGGCGGGTTCGAATCCCCAGCCCGGGCCCGCCAAACAACAATGACGGCTGCAGCCAAGAAATGGCCGGGCGTTGTGGCGGGCGCCTGTGGTCCCAGCTACTTGGGAGGCGGAGGCAGGAGACTCGCTT